TACATTTCAACACCTTACCCTTCATCACTAACCCAACCCTGTAAGCTAAAGACCTATGTACGCTGCAAGCTTGAACTCTACTTCACCTACCCCGCTGATCATTACATTTCAACACCTTACCCTTCATCACTAACCCAACACTGTAAGCTAAAGACCTATGTACGCTGCAAGCTTGAACTCTACTTCACCTACCCCGCTGATCATTACATTTCAACACCTTACCCTTCATCACTAACCCAACCCTGTAAGCTAAAGACCTATGTACGCTGCAAGCTTGAACTCTACTTCACCTACCCCGCTGATCATTACATTTCAACACCTTACCCTTCATCACTAACCCAACACTGTAAGCTAAAGACCTATGTACGCTGCAAGCTTGAACTCTACTTCACCTACCCCGCTGATCATTACATTTCAACACCTTACCCTTCATCACTAACCCAACCCTGTAAGCTAAAGACCTATGTACGCTGCAAGCTTGAACTCTACTTCACCTACCCCGCTGATCATTACATTTCAACACCTTACCCTTCATCACTAACCCAACCCTGTAAGCTAAAGACCTATGTACGCTGCAAGCTTGAACTCTACTTCACCTACCCCGCTGATCATTACATTTCAACACCTTACCCTTCATCACTAACCCAACCCTGTAAGCTAAAGACCTATGTACGCTGCAAGCTTGAACTCTACTTCACCTACCCCGCTGATCATTACATTTCAACACCTTACCCTTCATCACTAACCCAACCCTGTAAGCTAAAGACCTATGTACGCTGCAAGCTTGAACTCTACTTCACCTACCCCGCTGATCATTACATTTCAACACCTTACCCTTCATCACTAACCCAACCCTGTAAGCTAAAGACCTATGTACGCTGCAGGCGTGAACTATACTTCACCAACGGATCGACCGTCTCCGCGACCGTCTACAAGAATCGACTGACTCTAATAAGGAAAGGGGGGGGGGGCTCGGGTCTAAGAAAATTGTTGTAAATAATTGTCAGAAACAACGGCAGCTCTTTATTTTAACGAGCTGTTATTTTATTTTCCCTGGAGTCAGTGCTATTTACTGCTGCAGTCCAATTAGTTCGGATACGTTTGGTTTAGAGAGTATTTATTTCTTCTGACAGACTGAAGAGTGTTTTCTTATTCAGGTATACTTGTTAGATAGATTTGGAGCGTAAGCATGGTTTTAGATAGATGTGGAAAGTATTTATTTTTTCAGTCAGAATTGGCAAGGTTTTTTTTTTAATATAGATATAGAACGTGAATTTCTTCAATATACAGTGCAACGATAACTTTAAGGTAAAAAATCTCAAATAGCAAAATAAAAAAGGAAAGTTCCCCTTACAGACATAACGATCCATATACCAGATGAAGTAGAGTTTATGTTACTTGACCTCGGCATATGAAGGGATAGTGTGGTCAGCACTATGTCTGGCCGCTTTTACTTTCCCCAACGTGAGTCAGGTACCCATCAGAGCTAGGTGGACTCATGGAAGTCTTACAGTCACAAGTCCGAACCAAGATCCGAACTCGAGACCTTCTGGCTAGCAGTCAAGCATATATTAAGATACATAATTTTTAGTAAATCTTTCGTGGATATCTTCAAGCCAGCAGACGACTTCCATGCTCTAAACGTCTGCAAGTCTAAGTCCTGTCTAGAGCAGATGATTTCACAGTTATACAGAGCCTTGTTAATCCATCAACACTGTACTGTACTGTACTGTACTGTACAGTACTGTACTGTACAGTACTGTACTGTACAGTACTGTACTGTACTGTACTGTACTGTACTGTACTGTACTGTACTGTACTGTACTGTACTGTACTGTACTGTACTGTACTGTACTGTACTGTACTGTACTGTACTGTACTGTACTGTACTGTACTGTACTGTACTGTACTGTACTGTACTGTACTGTACTGTACTGTACTGTACTGTACTGTACTGTACTGTACTGTACTGTACTGTACTGTACTGTACTGTACTGTACTGTACTGTACTGTACTGTACTGTACTGTACTGTACTGTACTGTACTGTACTGTACTGTACTGTACTGTACTGTACTGTACTGTACTGGACTGTACTGTACTGGACTGGACTGGACTGGACTGGACTGGACTGGACTGGACTGGACTGGACTGTACTGTACCCAGTGGCGTAGCGAGGTCGGGTGTCACCCGGTGCGGTACTTAATGGTGTCACCCCCCCCCCCCAGAGGCGTTGCGACCCTTCCCGGGGACAAACTTTCAAGTTTTCGATTTGCACCCCCCCCCCCTCAAACTTTCGATTTGCACCCCCCCCCCCCCCCCCCCCTTCGAGTTTTCGATTTGCACCTCCCCCCCCTCGCTACGCCCCTGACTGTACCTCACCCCTTTACGACAAGTCTCAGTACAACTTAGGGGACGGCGTGGTCAGAGGGTAGCGCGCACGACTGCTAAACTAAAAGTCTTGAGTTCGGATGACTTTCCCCAGTATCGTTGTTTTCTTAGTACACCCATCTCTTGTGAGTAACTAACTCACGTAAGGGAAAGTAAAGGCGGCTGGGCATAATATTGACCACATTATCCCTGAATATACAGCCGTACTTCAGTGCACTAAAGTCGTTGCAGATTTGTTTTACCATTTCAGAATCGCGTCAATTAAACATAAATTTTCTTTAGAACAGTCTATATCTGAGTCCCAGCGTTTCTTCCAGAATGTTTTCCTCCGGGGAAGTGGCAGGTTGGGCGGGGGGCACTTGATATTTTCGGGCGGGGGGAGGCGGTAGACTTTCTTCGGGAGGGGGGGGGGGGAGGAGTCTGTCCCCCCCCCCCCCCCCCCCCCCCCCCAGTCGAGTGACCTCCAGACTTTCGAACCCCGAACCCCCTCAAAAGAAAAAAAAAACGCTCAAGAAAACGCCCACAAAAAAACGTCATATTTTATCCTCTCAGATGCACATAAATATCAGCAAACTTTTTTTTCATATCGTTTTATTTTTTCCCTCGCTCGTCCTATTAAAAAAAAAATTATTCATTTCATAATGTATCTTAGAAATACATTTAAAGAACTGATTTTTCTTCTGTTTGAAGTTCGTTATTGCAGAAGGATGCCCGAGCTGATATTGTTATGTGAGTATCGTAAAGATGGAGAAATAGAGGCTATCGTTGGCTGGATGACAAAATGACAGTCAAGATGACTCTCTTTCATTAATTGTGTAGGCCTATGTGTGTGTGTGTGGGGAGGGGGGGGGGGGGATTAGATTAGATGCAGCGCCACATTAAAACACTCACATATTTTATACACACATACATAAATATATACATTCATTTATTCATATATTTAAACATTTGTGAGTGTGTGCGTGTAAAACAGTCACACAAACACACACACAGATATATGTATACTTTCAAGACTTAATCACAAATCCTATTAACATAATCATATTTTTATCGTTGTATATATATATATATATATATATATATATATATATATATATATATATTTACACACACACATATATATATATATATATATATATATATATATATATATATATATATTTATATATACGTATATATATATATATTTACGTATATATATACATATCTATACGTATATATACATATATATGTATATATAATATGTATATATATATATATATATATATATATGTAAATACATATATACATATATATTTGTATACATATACATATATATATATATATATATATATATATATATATATATATATATATATATATATATATATATATATATATATATATATATATATATATATATATATATATATATATATATATATACATATATATAAATATATATAGTTGGTGAATATTATAACTTACACAATATATACTTATATATTATGGGTCTGCGATGTAAGCTCGCGTGTGTGTGTATGTGAATGGAGAGATGACGTTCTATATATAGAAATTGACTGCAGTCATTGATGTGGATTCAATGTTTTGGAGGAGTATGACAATATATGAGACAATATTCTCCACATCACCACACCAACATGTGGTGGCCACAACAGCAGTCAGACCTAACCTTGTCATGCTACCCCGCTGGTTGTTATAGTCGTATATTTGTATTCCCTTATATTATAAATCTGACAACACGTATATACAGATTTCAGAATTCAAATTAAACATTTACACCGAATGACAAAACAATGTTAGCAAGGTTTATTATGAAAGGAAATACAAATCTTTTGTAATATAAGCAGTCAATCTATAATTGAATATTTTCGTTTGTAATGCATTTACAGCACTTCAAAATCTAAATAAAGAGATATATATTTACGGTTTTCTTATTTCCAAACCATCATCAAAACTGAAACTTAAAAAAGGGAAGCAATTAGTATCTTTGTTTATTTTTAACTACAAGAAAATGGGTTCCCAGAAAGAATCACAACGGAAAAAAGCGCAACGGAAAAAAGCGCAAACAGAAAAAAAGCGCACACAGAAAAAAGCGCAAACAGAAAAAAGCGCACTTCCCTAAGAGATGCCTGGAAGAAACTCTGATAGTCTGCTTGCTGCTAAATGGATACAAATGTATTGAACTTGACTTCATGTTACATAACTCTTCATGCCTTATATCACCTTCCCTACCCCTCCCCCACCCCAATACGAGCAGGCACTGTAAACTTAAAAAGAAAGTTTATTTAGAAAGTATTTACTTTAATAAGTGTCGGTCACCCACCCCACCCCCCTCAAAAATTTAAAGCGCGCCCCTCGGAAGTTTCAATAGCTCCCCCCCCCCCTACCATCCACTCTCCTGGACAAAAAATGTTATGAAATTTGTAAAATTTAAACAAATACTAATAGTTTTTACTAAGCACCCATTTTCATCTAATTTCACTATCAATGCTAATTTGTCAACATGAAACTAATTAAGCTACCTTTCTAAAAATATCAAACCAACTTTAGAATAAAAAGTGAATCACAGGAATCAACCAACGTGTAAATCATCATGTTCCTATTTCAGGAATCACCGGAAGTGACCCGTGACCTGAAGTGACGTGTCACCATGGATTCCTCGGACTCGGACGACGCCGTCGTGATGACGTCACCGACGGGCGAGACGTACCACGAGCAGGACGTCCAGCACCTGTTCCGGGCCATCCGCAAGGGCAAAGGTCACCTGACCCGCTTCATGCTAGCCGCGTCAAACAACACACTGCTGAACTGTTGGGACAAGGACGGCAAGACACCGCTCATCGAGTGCTGCTATATTAGGGTAAGTAGTGGGTGCTATGTGGCGAATGGGCGGGGGGGGGGTATTAATATCTATATATATAATTCTCCTCTTCGAGCCGTTAGAAAACAAGCTGCAAACGCTCTCCCTACCTCCCCACCCCTACATGGTTTTAGTGAGCTGTGTTCACTCTAAATGTTTACAAGCAGAGCCAACGATTTTAAACGTAGGGGGGGGGGGGGAAGGAAGGGGGGGGGGTTATGGTCCTTAACGAGCTACTTATAGTGTTTTAAAGAAATATTTTCAGTGTCAGCGTTGGTACTGTCGAATTCACAAATTATGAATTATTGAAAATTAGAAACAACTAAATAGCGGCGTATGTTATGCCGCGGGCCGGCTCGTTATGTATATTAGGGTAAGTAGTGGGTGCAATGTGGCGAATTGGGGTGTGTGTATTATGGTGGGGAAGGGGCTTGTTACTTGAGTGATTGTTTATTGTTGAGTTGGGTTATTGTGTGGTAAGTTAATGGTGAGGTCTGTTTATGGTAGGGGTCGGTTTTCGGTGGGGTTATTTTTTGGTGGGGTCAGTTTAAGTTGGGATGATTTAATGTTAGGGTCGTTGCGTGGTGGGGTCTGTTGTTTGTGGGATCAAGTTTTATAATGGGGTCTTTAATCCTTTAGGGGTGAGGTCGATTTATGGGGAGGTCTTTTTATGGTGGGATCGGTTTGTGATGGGATCAGTTTGTGGTGGGGTCGGTTTGTGATAGGGTCGGTTTGTGATAGGGTCGGTTTGTGGTGGGGTCGGTTTGTGGTGGGGTCGGTTTGTGATAGGGTCGTTTTGTGATAGGGTCGGTTTGTGGTGGGGTCGGTTTGTGGTGGGGTCGGTTTGTGATAGGGTAGGTTTGTGGTGGGGTCGGTTTGTGATAGGGTCGTTTGTGGTGGGGTCGGTTTGTGGTGGGGTCGGTTTGTGATAGGGTCGGTTTGTGGTTGGGTCGGTTTATGGAGGGGTCAGTTTATAATGTGAAAGTGAGGCCAATTTGTTATGGGGTCAGTATATGGTGGGGTCAATGAATGATAGGGGACGTTGGTCTTTTAGTAGTGAGGTCTGTTTTATTTGAGATGTGGTCACTTCATAGTTGTGTAGGTTCGTATTGGGGTTGGTGTAGGATGTGGTTGCTCTTAATGGTGTGTCAATTTGTGTAATCGTAAAATGTAATCTTCATTGGTAATTATAGGTGTAATCAGCATTGGTAATCGTAAGATGTAATCCGCATTGGTAATCGTAAGATGTAATCTGCACTGGTAATCGTAAGATGTAATTTGTAATCGGTCATTGTTGTGAAGTAGATTAGTGCTGTGTTAATATCAGTTAATGATGTTGGTTGTTTGTTTATGTAGTCACATATCTGTAGAGTGAACAATTCATGAGATCAGTTTATCTATATATAGATTTTAATTTGATCTTTTATAGCGGAGTCCGTTTGCTATCTTATTATTTTGTAATGTCCTGATTAGACTTGTGTGTTTTGATGTGAGTACTTTTCAGGTATGTGGAACGAGTGTGTACGTGAGTTTGTTGTGTGTTCAATCGCCGGAGTGTTCAGTACGTCACAGATTGTGGTGTATTCAGTTTGTGAGTTGAGTTCACCGGTCAATCGTTCACCCAATGGTGTGTAAAGACTGCGAATGTTACGCGACAGTGATTCGGCTTTATAAGACACAGTTTATTATGGTGAAGACTTGCGTGCTGTTTTCTCATTATTAAACCTTTTCCAAAGTCTGCCATTCGTCGCTGTGAACTTGTTCTAATCATGGTTCTATAGATGTACACAACACATCCGGTGTCCGATAATAGACTCTTCCATAAAATAGGGGTGTTGGGTTGTTAGCAGTATTGTCATCTCGACTAATTTTATGGTTAGAAATTATTGTTAGGCGTATGGTAGGACCAGGGTTGGTGTTAGGATTAGGGACAGGGTTAGCATTGACATTAGCGAACCATGTGTGTATTTAGTTAACTATCAGTAACCTAACACCCCTTTTTTAAAGAAGATTCCATTATCGGACACCGGCGTAAAAATTCTCCCCAAAAACATTTTAAATCGATGTTAACACACTACATTGGTTTCGTTATCCTTGAACATATTTTATGTAGACAAAAAGCATGGAAATTATCTTTGAATGAATCCTTTAAAATGTACAAAGTTTGTTGTGTGTTTTTTGTTTGTTTTTCTTTTACATATCCCTCCCCTTTCCGCCCCGCCCTAAATGAAGAACTCAATAGGCTGAACGACCTCGACATTGAACACGTTCAGATGAAACACGTGATGTCCAGTTAGGAAAAACTTATTTGTCTACACGTCGAGGTGGAGGGATGAGGGGGGTTGGGGGGGGTGAGGGGGTTGGGGGGGGGGGGGTACATTGCCGGCAGCCGATGAGGAAGATCAAAGATCTAAGGGCGGGATTAAGGCTGGATTAAGGGAAACTAATCCCTAAACGAGTCTGGCACGAGATTAACTGGGAAGTTCCGGCAAGTGTCACGATCTTTGGCAGCGTACTGTTGGAAGCTAATAGCATACAGCTGTAAGCTAGAAGCGTACTGTTGGAAGCTACAAGCGCCCTGTTGGAAGCTATTAGCATACAGTTGTAAGCTAGAAGCATACTGTTCGAAGCTAGAAGCGTACTGTTGTAAGCTGTTTGCATACAGTTGTAAGCTAGAAGCGTACTGTTGGAAGCTACAAGCGCACTGTTTGAAGCTGTTAGCACACAGCTGTAAGCTAGAAGCGTACTGTTGTAAGCTAGAAGCATACTATTGGGAGCTGCTAGCATACAGTTGTAAGCTAGAAGCGTACTGTTGCAAGCTGTTAGCATACAGTTGTAAGTTAGAAGCATACTGTTGTAAGCTGGCAGCATTCTATATAATATAAGCCAACATACCGATTTACGGTAGGAAGGCACATTTGTAGCAGCATACTGCAGTAAGCTAGCAGCATATCGTTATAAGTTGCCAGTATACATTGTTGTGATAGCTATATGCTTACAGTTAGAACAGCTTGTAGCTAGCAGCATATTGCTATAAGCTAGCAACATATAGATGTACGTTGGCAGCATATCGATGTAAGCTAGTAGCATATCGTAATGGCTAGCAATACTACATCTTTTAGCACGAGCCTCGTTTGATTTTTAAATCCAGCCTCGCCTTCGAACCTCGCTTTGATTTTAGCTTCAAACCTCGTTTTTATTCTAACTTCGATTCTCGATTTGAGGCTAGTTTAGATTCGTTTTTCTTTTATGCGATCTTCGAACCTGTTTTCTGTCCCCCTTCAACTCCCGTCTTTACTTTATCCTAAACTTGTGATCTGTGTCATGTTTTTATTTTTTCAAACATCAAAAACAACACGAACAAAATACATTACGATATATAAATAACTCTAACCATGTTTATCAGCTTTCACATCCCATGTTTATTTAAAACACGACGAGCACTCGTAGTTAAAAAAAAATAAAACATCTCAGTTTTCTTCTTGATCTGGTTGAATTAAATTTCCCATGCTATTTAATAATTTCTTTGCTCCGTTTCGAGCTATTTTAAAATCTTTTTATCTTTTCCATATGGAGGTTCGGGGTTGATCGGTGTGGGTATAAAACACAGGTATGTTAATCGGTAGAGGGGGGGGGGGTGGGAATGGGGGGGTGGGCGTCAATTTAGTTGTCAAACACGTGTTTATATTAGTAAGCTGTTAAACGCGTGGTCGGGCGGTAGAGCGCTCGTCTTGAGTTAGGATCTCGGACTCGAGATTGTAAGACTGCTCTGAGTTCACTCAGCTCTGATAAGTACCTGACTCACGTTAAGGAAAGTAATGGCGGCTGGGCAGTGCACTGACCACAATTTACCTTTATATTTCGTACTCACAGAAACTAACTCTACTGCATCTACTGTAATGACAATCGGAACAACAAAGATAACTATTTAAATACAAGTACATGAATGAAACATGTAATTAAACTAGAAATAGAATGATATAAATATTTATACTAGTAAAAATTCCTCTTTAGACCTAGCGATCCACTGGGCAGATGAAGTAGAGCTCATATCTTTTTTGACCTCGGCATACAAAGAGATAATTTGTTCAGCACTATGCCCAGCCGCCTTTACTTTCACTAACGTAAGGTACCCATCAGAACTGGGTGGACTCATGGACGTTATACTAACTTGAACTCGGATTCGAGATTTTCGGATTAGCAACCTAGTGCTCTATCGCCCCCATCTGTATCTAAGTAAGCGTATAGCAAGATTAAATGCTTCTTAAATTTCATAATCTCTAAATGAATTCAAAACAAAAGTCTTTTAACTGACAACAGTACAGAATATATGTACGCACCTACCTACCTAGTGCTCTATCGCCCCCCATCTGTATCTTAGTAAGCGTATAACAACACAACAACTAAGTCAAGATAAAATATTTCTCAAATTTCATAATCTCTAAATGAATTCAAAAACAAAGTCTTTTAACTGACAACAATACACAATTTATGTACACACCTACTCTCTACCCCACTCCCCCCTTTACCTTTAGACGCACAAGACTAAAGAATCGTTTTTTGAATTGGAGAATTTATCATCCACGCTGGCTTTTGACTAATCTCCTCTGACGCAAGCCATCCGTCTTGACGGCGTCATCAGACTCACATTAGCAGACGCAGCCCGCGTGGTTTATACCGCATTTCTCTTCGACCTGCCGCAACCCAACGCTAATCGTAGTGACAAGTACTTGGCGCGATACACATGGAAATCATTTAACAAGAATAGCTTGGTGGAGTCGAAAGTGGGGGGGGGGGGGTGATGGTAAAATTATTTCAATAAATTAGTAAGTTATATATATATATATATATATATATATATATATATATATATATATATATATATATATATATATATATATATATATATATATATATATATATATATAGGTTAGCTTTGCCTGTCGTCCCTCCTGGGACATAGGCCGCTGACAAGAGCTTTCCAGGCGTCTCTGTCCTGG